AATTATCCCATTTTTCAATCTGTACACAGGTTCGACCTAAGGAGTTCCTACCTCTTTTTCTATCTTATCTGTCCTTCTTTTTTCCCCCCCCTAGGGTGCACGAGCTACATACCACTATTCCTAAGCCTATATTAGTACAGGGGACACCTGGAAGCATACAGGGGACACCTGCAAGCATAGCTACCTCTCACAATCAGCGGGATGCATGTTGCCCACCATCCCGCCTGACACTGGGCCCGCAGTACATTCATTGCCCTTTTGGGCCCACGGTACTTACTTCATTGCCCTTTTCGAATATCAGAGAGGCATGCTTTTTTTTTGCAAGGCATGCTTTCTTTGCCCCCTACGAAACCCTGTTGTGCTTCTTTTTATACGAATCTTCTTTTTTGGGGGGGGGAGTGTTAAAAAACCTTCCCGCGACGAAACTTTGGTATTCATTTCACCCCCAATGGGGCAAAAAGTGCCACAGGCCCCAAAATGACTTTTGGCATCTTTTTTCCACCCTGAAAAAAATTGCCCACAGGGGGCATCACCGGCCCAGCCAGGGTGCAAAAATGACCCAAAACGTCACTGGCCCTTTTTACCTCGTTTGGGGCGAAAAGAATACGAAGGTTTCGTTGCGGGGAGGTTCTATAACTTTTCCCTTTATTTTTTTTACCAGAAACAACAGCGGACGTGGCAGGTTTCGAGTTCGTAAAGGAAAAAGAAAAAAAAAACGTGACGTCAAAAAATCACGCTCCTCCTTTGGAGGGGCAAATTTCGGTCCAAAAGTTTACTTTGGGCTTTTCTTTTTTTTCTTTCCTCATCTGACACCACGCCGGACCCCTGTAAAATATGACACCCAGCCTGGCACTGGGGCCGGGGTACCTGCATTGCCCTTTTCGAACTTCACAGAGTCATGGTTTTTTTGCCCCCTATTTTCTTTCCCCATCTGACACCACGCCCAACCCCTGTACAATATGCCCCCTATTTTCTTTCTCCATCTGACAGCACGCCTCACACTGGGCCCGCAGTACTTTCATTGCCCTTTTGGGCCCACGGTACTTACTTTCATTGCCCTTTTCGAACTTCACGGAGGCACATTTATTTTTGCCCCCTATGAAACTCTGATGTCACGTCAACGATTCAACGTACTTCCCTTCTTTTTTTATTACTTTCTCGCATCTGTCTCCTCTTACCTGATTGGCTATCGGTTGTTACTCTTGAACGAGGGCTGGGAGTGGGAACTTGGTGGCCTGGGTATTGGAATCATCATGACAGGTGCACCTGGATTTTTATGTGGCTTCTCCTCTTCTTTCTTTTTCCCCCCGGGGCAAGGTCCCACTTGCACGGATTAAGAGATTCTGGCCGTTGATCTTTGCTATCGATGGTCAATATTGCCTCATTCGTGTAAGTGGGACCTAGCCCCCAGATAGGATGCTTGCTGCCCTGTTACAGGGTGGAGAAGACGACGAAATGTGGGAATTCTTGCGGGTGCGGCATGGGAGAATGCCCCTATGGTCTGTGGAAATTGCTCAGTTGGCTCAACCGCAATAGGATTTTCTATACCTCCGGGGACCAGATCTGCAGGAAAAACCCGCGAATGCGTCAACATCGTTATCAGTCAGGCCACGTACACCGACAACACCATCTGGCATGGCGTAGACTGTATCGTCATCAAGACGGACGGATGAACGTGATGACGGATCTGAAAGGCGAGGATGTTTCTCCGCAGGTTCTTAATTCACATCGGCGAAGTTTCTTCAACTTGGCTTCCTATGGAACCGAGCCTTCTGAAACAGCATCACTTCCGGGAAGAGAGTGAGAGATGCGGAGAAGACCATCATGATGATGATAGTCAACCTGCAGTCAATCAGTGGATATTGGGAGGAGAGGAGGAGAGGAGGAGAGGAGGAGAGGAGATCCTCCTTTTTTCTCGTCTTTGGCCTGCGTCTGCTTGTTCTTTATCCGCTGGTAGATGGTAGAACAACGCAGATGAGACGTGCATAAGATGTGGATAAGATGTGGATGAAGATGTGGATGAAGATGTGGATGAAAATGTGGATACTATGTGGATAAAGGTGTGGATAAAGATGTGGATAAGATCTGGATGAAGATGTGGATACTATGTGGATACTATGTGGATAAAGGTGTGGATAAAGGTGTGGATAAAGATGTGGATAAAGATGTGGATAAGATCTGGATAAGATGTGGATGAAGCTGTGGATGAAGCTGTGGATAAAGATGCGGATAAAGTTGTGGATAAGGATGTCTATAAGATGTGGATGCTGGCAACACAGCATTCAAAATCGGACCTGAGAAAGGCCAGGATGAGGATGACGGGAAGGATTGGAAGGAGACGATGAAGGTGGAGAAGGAAAGGGAGGAGAGAAAGGGACAGTGACAGTGAGATCATGAGATGGCTCAAATTACCATCCCCTCCTCCTCGTCCTCATTCTTCTCCGCCTGCTCCTCCTCCTGCCCTTTTGTAGTAGCTTGCCATCCCCTAGAATGGATTCATCTCTCTTTTTGTTTTCTTTTCTTAATCGGAACCCATCACTTGGGAACTATGAATCCCCCGCGGTCATGACCGCCGCTCAGACGGCGGGATCCAACTCGGCCCACGGTTGGATCCGCGGCCGAGATTTTGTCAGATTTTTAATAAAATAAATAATAGACCCAAAAAACAGAAAAACAATTATGGGGTTGTAGGGTTTCGAAAGGCCTACACCCCCTTTTTTGGGGGGGGATTTCAACGTTGTGTTGTAATTTTTAAAAATAGAGAACGAAAAAAACAGTATTATAATGTATAAAAAAGTGATAAAAAAGGGCTTTTTTTTTTGTGATTGCTAGTGGATAAACATGTTGCACTTTTTTTTCTTTTTTTTTTAATGGACAGATGGAAAAATAAAAGGGAAAAAAGACTAAAAAACACAAAAAAAGCCAAAAACGTTTTTTTTTTTTCCATTTTTTGGTTTTTGACAGACACACATACTGATCGACTGATTGATTGACTGATTGATTGATTGATTGGTTGATTGATAAATAAAAGCCAAAGCACGTGCAGGGGTGTGTGCGTGTATGTGTGTACGCACGGGGAGAGGGGGCGACCCCTCCCCCACCAATTAATCAATCAACCAATCAACCAATCAATCAATCAATCAAACAATCAAACAATCAAACAGTCAATCAAATAAAATAAAATAAAAAACAGGGTTCGACCCGTGTGTGCTTTTGTGTGTGTGTGTGAGTTTGCGGCCAGCCCCATGGCAGCGCGTTGTCAAAAGAGAGAGAAAGAAAGAGAACTGCCACCTGGCATTGCGTTAGCCTGCAGGAGAGGGAGAGGCAGAGAGCGAGAGAGAGCAATCGTGCAAACTCTCTCTCTCTCTCTCTCTCTCTCTCTCTCTCTTTTCAACGGCTGCGACATGGCAGTGCGGTTGTCGAGAGAGAGAGAGTAGCGGTTCAGGGGCGTGCAGGTGGTGTGTGGGGAAGCTGGGGTTTCAGCGGGGGTGTTTAAGGGAGGTCGGAGGGGAGGGGGGGGAGGAGGGGGGGGGTCGACTGTTTGGGAGTGTGTGAGAGAGAGAGCTTGGTGTCATGAGAGCTTGCCTCTCCCCTCCCCCCCCCCAAATCGACCTTTTTCCCCTGTAACCTGGGTGCCAGAGTGGACATCTCATGAATGCCGTTGAATGGCACAGGAGAAGAGAGATGCGGGGTCATTATAGGGAGGAAAGCTACGGGAGCAAAATCAGGAGGCAGGGCTCAGCGTCTTTTCTCTGTCACACGAGTGTGCGAACCAGCCTCCCCTTCCCAACACGAAAGTAAAGCTCGACAGAATTGCGGACAAGGTGCTCTTCTCAATTTTGGAAGCAGAAATACCGGTTTTAAAATTTTAAATGCATCGTAGCTACTTTGCCGGTCCGCGGCTCGGTACATCGGCGCAGAAACCTTCCGAAAACGGAATTCCTGCAAGGTGGACCAGCAAATCTGTTCGGTAAATCTAATCTTGATATCTGCGCGGAGAAACCTTACCGTCCAGAAATCTTACCGTCCGAAAGCGAAATCTGTTCGGTAAATCTGTTCTTGATATCTACCCGGTAAATCTGTTCTTGATATCTGCCCGCCAAAAGCGGAATTTTTGCAAGGCGGGGCGGTAAATCTGCCCAGAAATCTTACCGTCCAGAAAACGCATTTCTGCAACTTCACCGGTGTATTTGCCAGCATACGTGCACGGACGGCGATATCTTCAAAAAACGGAATACATGCAGTTTGCCCTTTAATTTCTGACGCGTTCGTTGTCCATGGGGCCAAAGTGAAAAAAGAAGAAGGAAAAAAAAGCCCTCATCGCTGAATCACCTTGAGCTTGGAGTTTTATTCACTCGGTGTCCATGTTTAAAGGAACAGAAAATAAATACGGAAGAAAGACATACTGTTAATTTATTAGACATAGCGAGCAGAAGAACACCGAGTTAAACTTTATAAAATGCGGCACCCTACGTGAGAAATTACCGAACGGTAGACGATACACCTGAAAAGCGGCACCTTACGGAAGCATTGTTGTTGTTTTTTTTTTTTTTTTTTTTTTTTTTTTTTTTTTTTTTTTTTTTTTTTTTTTTTTTTTTTTTTTTTTTCGTTCGCTGGCAGCAAAGATCAAGAAGTGCAGTCCAGACAAACAGAAGTTGAGAGAAGAATATAGACAGTTGTGATCAACCCCCCCCCAAAAAAAAAGAAGTGCAGTCCACCGCTTTCTTCTACAGAAAAGAAGAGCACAAAAGGAAAGTGGGGACTGCGGTGCTTTTTTCCATTCATTGCCAGTTCGAGTTCAGAAATAGCTGCATGAATTTAACCGTTCAACGAGGACAGATGCATCCAGAGGCATGCCCCCACATCAAGGAGATTTGACGGGGAAGAATCACGTCACGATCTCATGCACACAGGTTATGTGTAGGAACGGACACGTGGGGACCATTTTTTCCTATGGACAAGCTGAATTATGCAGCTGGAGGTCAGTCCACGTGATTTTTCGACTTTAACAAAATTGATGTCGTAACTAAAAAAACACAGCGCATCCAGATTCAAAAAGACGCTTTCACACTGAGTCTGCCGATCTGCAGTCGAGCTCACTCATACATGGTCCCTCACAATGCCATGGGACCCAGACGCACAACGCAGAGATTACCTCCTCCTCTACGGCTATTCCGCTGAGAGTGCATACGTGACAAAAACACAAGCACGCACACTGCGGCAGATTACTTCCTCCTCTTAGTCCTCAACGATTACTTCAGCTGAGTTCATCGGTGACAAACACAAGCGCATGATTCCCAACGTCGACCACCAGGTCGAGAACACACATACACAACGTCGACCACTAGGTCGAGAAGCTGCGCCCCCGCCCTTCCACCCAACACACACACACACGCACACACACGCACACACACACACACACACACACACACACACACACACACACATACATATATACACACATATATACACATATATACACATACAGAAAGGAATGGGATCGCCAGAATTATGACAGAATTTCCACTATCAAGCTACCGCTAGCACGTCCGACTCCTGAAACAAATTCCCGTTATATACTCTGTGACAACCTCAGTACACATCACGAACCCGAACACAGTCCCTGCCAACGTGTTATATTACATAATATTAATACATAGACACCAAACACAAGAGCAAATGGGGTCTCCAGACTCACCACAGAGTCTCCGCTATCACCGTCAGCGTTCTAGTAGAGGTCCACGTCAGCAGAACTGAAGCTACCGGTAGGCTGTAGCGTGTCCGACTCCCCAAACAAATTCCGTGTGTACTCTGTGACGACCTCCGGAGTCCGTACACATCACGAACGCGAACACAATCCCTCCCCATTTCTAACTACAGAAATTATAAGAAATAAAATCATGGCATTGCTGCTCTATGCTCTATGTTACATTCAGCAGACAGACTCTCGACCTCCCCTTCTGTGCTGAACCCCTCTCTCACGCGCTTACGTTGCTACCGTCTTCCCCCCCCCGAACACAACGCACCCTGATAAGGAATGCATGCGAGCTATGTTTCCGGTCCCGTGCGGCCAAAGTGATCGACGTACTTTCTCTTCGCCTTCTTAGCATTGCTCCCAGACGAGATCCCACGCGTTGAGCAGGGCCTCCACTCGAATGATCCCCCCCGCTCCCTTGGGCTTCTTGCCTGGTTTCACCGTGACTTCCAAGCCCACCGACAGGGTCTGTTTGTTGCTGCCACACGTGCTGTAAAGTGCCGAACCGAATCCGTCCCTGTATTCAAGGTTGTCGTCCAAGGGTCCCTGGATCTTGCGAGTGATGCGAGCCGTCCCTGCCTGCCCCGAGAAATAGTAAAACGCCTTAATCGACCCAGACACGCCTCGATCGAGCTTTGCGTACCCGCTGAAAGTGACCGACCCCAACCCTACAGCGAAGCCTTCAGGGTAACTGAGATTTACGGAGATTTGGCACCTCCTCGTCCGGTGCGCCGCGCTCTTGTGCGTCGTAGCAATGAACTTGGTGAACTTCATCGTCATCGCCTTTAGGTCCTCGGAGAGAACGTAGTCGACACCGTCATAAGGACACCCGCTGCCGCCGAAGGTGAGGCTGTCAATCGTCACCGAGCCCGGTGGTGGACTAACGGCAGATCCCTGCCCGGCCAGCTGCAGGATCACCAGCAGGACAAGAGTCAGCAGCAGGCGGGCCGTCTCTGAGATCGGACAGACAGCTCGCATCATCCTTCGCTCCATCCCTGCCGCCTTCGGTCTGTGGTCGTCGTGACCTGCTGAACAGACTGGAGTGGCTATGTGGTCACCGAGAGGTTGTCCACGTGTCACTGCCACGGACGTCTGCCGTGCCGTCTCGAGGTCCACGAGGCTACTACACCCCCCTCACACTCACACAACGCAGCGCAGCGTCTAATACACGCAACGTCCCTCTTCTTCACTTCCACTTCCAATCTCTCTTCTTCGTCTCCACTTCCAGTCTCTTCTTCTTCTTCCCTCCACACAGAACCTGTCCTCTTTTGAGAAGAACGATACTCTTGGGGGGGGGTTGGGGGGGGAGGGGCCAAGTCCCACTGTAGCAGGAGCGTTTAGGTTGAGGGCCTCGCCACACCACACTCGAAATGTAAAAAAGACAAAAATGTGGCGGGTGCATCTGGCCATGTTCTAGCGGGCAGTTCATTCTCATTTTGCACATTTCGAGAGTGGTGTGGCGATGCCCTGAGTGTCCGCAGCGCCGTAATCTAGATGTGCTTTTGGAGAAGTGCGATTGAGGAAAACTCGCAGTCATTTCTGCACATCTCCTCAAACACGTCCAGATTCAGGCGTCAAGGAAACTCAACGCCGCTTTTGGGACTTGGCTGCGGAGGTAATAAAACAGAACTTATTGTGTGAAAAAAAAAAAAAAAAAAATTCTGGCTACTTGCCTTCCTTGGTGGCGAAGGGCACTTTCAGCAAAAAATCGAAAAAGTACCACAAAAGATGGGTCCGGCACGTGAAAGAAAAAAAATTCTGCCACCTCCTTCGGGACATCCGGAAAAAAAAAAAAAAAAATATATATATATATATATATATATATATATATATTAAACATAGGTCGAAATTGGAGACTGTTTGTGCGGTTTTGTGGGCTTGTAGCTCTCTTTGTTGCAGGGTCTGATTCTTCAGGACAGTGGCTCATGTGTTGGCCGTTTCTGTGCGTGGATCTTTTTCAACCCTTCTTTGTATCGTGTGTATGTTTTTGGAGCAAGTGGTTTGCTCGCAGGTTATGCCTGTAAGCTAAGCTGCCTGTTGCTGCCAGATACTCGGGGTTGAATTGTGAGGACCCCGGCCTCTGGTTTTTCTTCGCAATATAATTGATTTCAATTTAAAAAAAAATAAAAAAATTGGAGACTCAAGATTACTGTAGCATGGCCGCGTGGCGCAAGGATGACACGCATAAAACAAAAACAAAACAAGAAAAAATAAAAAAAATAAAAATTATGTCACAACCACAGGGCCGAACGGGGGGGGGTGTCTTTGGCATCATGGATGGCGAAAGGGCCTGCATGCCAATGGTACCTGGGGCCAAGGGCCTCGCCACACCACTCTCGAATCTCGAAAATTCGTGAGTCCGGCACCGCCACATAGCATTGCTCCAAAAAAAAACTCGAAAGGCGTTTTCGAGTGCCCTCTCGAAACGATGTTTTCGCCCAGCCTGCAGCGTTGGATACCGCCCCTCCGCTCTCGAGTTCGACGTCCATTTCGAGAGTTGTCAGGCCGTTTTTCGTGATGCTGCCCATCCACGCTCGAGTTCGTCCATTTGGAGAGGCCAGTCTAGTGTGCTATGTGGCTAAGGGCCATTTTCTCTGGAAAACCGGCCTCTCCAAAAATCCTGACAGCTCTCGAATATTTTCGAGATTCGAGAGTGTTGTGGCTACGCACCAAGTCCCACTAGCAGCGTTGAGCTACCTCAACGCCTGAATCTGGACGTGTTTGTGGAGACGTGCGGTTCAGGAAACTAAACACCATTTCTGCACACCTCCGCAAAAGCGTCCACATTCAGGCGTTGAGGTAGCTCAACGCTGAAGGTGGGACTTCGCCTCTGCGGATGGACGTAGCAAGGAGGGAAGGACGACAAGGGGGGAAAAAAAAAACCAGAAACTTTCTGGGACAAGTAGCCGTTCGAGAGAAGAAACAGCTTTTTTTCTTCTTTTTTTTTTTTTCTTTTTTTTTTTTTCAGCCGAGACCGGCGGTACCATGCGGGATGTCAAATTTTCCCCAGAAGTACGTTAGGGCCAGATCACACAGCCAAAGAGGATTGGAATAAGTGCCTGAATCAGGACATGTTCCACGCAGAGATGCAGAAAAGGAGATCAATTACAGTATTTTGCACATCTCCAAAAACAGCTCCACATTCAGACACTTATTCCAATGTTTTTTTTTTTTTTTTTTTTTTTTTTTTTTTTTCCAATCGTTTTTGCCAGTGGGATGAAAAGTCTTGATTTCCCTTTGTATAGGACCCTTGTTTATTTGAATGAATAAATGCTTGCGACCACTACTGGACGACTTTTCAGACATCTTATCGACTTCAAAAAGAAAAAAGAAGAAAAAAAAAAAAAAACTGAAGTGGCTGCTCGAGCTTGTCGTTTGGGGCTGATAAAGATATGGCTCCAACGTAGCGATGACACGCGGCAGTCCAGAAGGGTCCACATTTCTTTCTTTTTTGGATTTATGTGTGTCATCATTTTTTCGTCCAGAAGGGTCCACATTTCTTATTTTTTTGGATTTATGCGTGTCATCTTTTTTTCCCTTGGACGGCCATGTGGCCGTCCATGTGTTCGAATCTTGTATTCGGAATTTTTTGGATTTATGCCTGTCAGCTTTTTTTCCCTTGGACGGCCATGTGGCCGTCCATGTGTTCGGGTCTTGTATTCGGATTACACGTGCTTTCGTGCAGTAACAGCCGTCCCGCTACCCAAGAGATAGACCACTGGATCCCCCGATCGGCATCAAGCAGAGTCTGCTATGTTCGTAGGGGAGGGGCCTGAGGGGAGGCACTGAGGGGCCTGAGGGGAGGCACTGGGGATTGGTCCGCTTTATCCCTGATGCTACCGGCCATCCCCTGGCCGGTATCCTGCAGGCTCGAGGGGCCGTAAAAACACGGCTCCGGTATGCTACGGGTTTCCCCGTATGCCTATAGGTAGGAGTAGTGGTAGGTTGCTAGTGTGAGGAAAAAAATTGAGAGAGGAGTATA